TTGAAAGGGATTTAGTGGGTTAGTGTGGATTATTTTCTTAATACATGTAATTACATATAGGATATTTAATATCTCATATAAATATTACATATAATATATATTAACTTATAAAGTTATACCATTTAAAATAAATAACATATTAATAACTGTTATATATAATTACATATTATATATTTGTATACACATAACAAATTAATATATTTTAAATATATTTATATTAATAAATTTATTATATATATCAGTTTTCTTATTTTCTTAATTTATAATAACTAATATTAGTACATATCTAATAAAGTATTATTAGTTTTTTTCAATATATTACTAGATTTTATCCATTATTTTAATAAAATTAAAAGAATTTATTACATTATCTTTATAAACTTTTTAATTTTACAACATTAATGAATTTTGAGCAATTAATTTATAATTTAAGATTCAATAAAGTTTCAAAATATATAAAAAAATAAACCAAGAGAAATATATTTATATTTTTAATATTATAAATCTCAGTATGTACATATTTAATATTATTAATATATTACCTTAAAGGATTAATAAAATTTTTAAAAAATGTTAATCTATTTAAAATAAAAAAAGGCAATATCGATAGAATTGTCCAACAAAATATTCTATTAGAAAAATTTCATTGGTAATGGCTTATTCCAACTGAAAATTTTGTTAAAAAATTTTGAGAGTTTTAAATTTTTTTAGCCTCTAAACTTTTCGACGGATTTCCAACGGATTATTGTCCGTTCGAAAATTTCTTTGAAAATCTGTGAGAAATTCCATTGAAAAGTCTGATGGGAGTAAATTTTTTTGAGGCCATAAATTTTTTGACGGATTTCCAACGGATTATTTTTCGTTGGAAAATTCCAACGAAAATCCGTTGGAAATTCCATTGGAAAGTTTGGCGAGAGTAATTTTTTTTTTGCACCAAAAAAAATTTCGACGGATTTCCAACGGAATTTTTCAGTTGAAAAAATTCTGTTGAAAATTCATCGAAAATCTGTTGGAAAAAATTAAAATAAATTTTTGTTGGAATTCCATTGGAAATTCGTTGGAAATTTCCAATGGAAAATTTCCAACGGAATTTTTTCCGTCAGAAAAAATCTGTTTCTTATAGTGGTAGTTAACATGATTCTACCCTTGATTTAGTTTTGTGGTAGTTGATACGATCCTACCACTTTTGATATACGATTGATGGCTATCATATATCCAACCACTTTGGTGTTACGGCATACTTTGATTTGGTTGTCCATGCTACTTAGTGCTCCATGACCTATTTGAAATTATATGTGACGCCATGGAATTGAAGCTCGATAATTGTTCTAGATTTTGGACTTTGGTATTTATATTGTCTCAAATTTGGACTTTAGATTTGGTATTTGTTTGGACCCTGGTTCTTGGAATTGACATTTGTTTCTACCTTGGTGCTTGAGTTGTTATTTGTTTCGATTTTTAGCATTTGTATATGGTATTTAGATTCAACTTACTCGATGTAATGCAAATTATGTTAATTTGAAATCCATTCGTTTTTCTTAAGGATTTCCTAAAAATAGCAACATTACTTCATTTTCTTTGCAGTGCACTTTGTTTTCCTCAGCATCTTTAACAAAAGCTTTGAAACCCAATATTTATAAATTGTTTTCTTAGAAATACTTGAATGCTTTACAAACTATGATTTTTATTTCAAAGGTTTGAGAATGGTTTCCAACAATACTTTGTAAAATCCTTCTAAATGAGCTTATATTCGACAATGAATGGCATTGAAGTTTGTTTGATACATGATCATACTTGGCACAAAACTTGCACCTTGGCATACTTGATTTTCCTTGGGATTAAATTCCCAAACCCTTAGAAATAATTGATATGGTTGAAAGGCAACTTTGTTATTTTTTTTACACTAGTTATTTGCATTTTTTTAAAAAGTATTTTGGATAAACACTCTCCCATTTAGCTTGTTCCCCTTCCCCATATCCGCTCATAGGGTTATTTATAACTCACACATGTAAGAGGCACATGTTTTATAGATCAATAATTGCTTGGGTCGTTATCATCTGGAAGAGCCAACACTCCGGTCAGTTTTTGTATCTAGTAGGCGTCAACCCTTTTGTTTCGAGTTATACTCTATTGGTCTTATTTGGTTTTGTCATTTTGTTTGACTGATATAAATATGACTATGTTTATGTCCTATATTAATGACATGTATATGGAATTTGCCAAGTAATGGCCATAGTATACAAATGCCACAAGATGGCCTATAAATGCTATTTTACTATGTATTACTTCCGCATTTTGAGCATGTGAGTGTGCAAACTAATACAATTTAATCTTATGTGATTTAATATGTTCATGTATGTTTGATGTGCGGTTCCATGGTGATGAGTCCCATGAGGTAATTCTGAGTATTGATTTGAATTATTCACCTTAGGTTTGCATGGGTTAAGAAGGTAACTCCCATTGATACCCTTGCATCGATCAAGGGCCAGGATTTGGGTCATGATACAAACATACTCCAAATATTATGAAAAAATAATTTTTTGTCATCCAAAAATTGAGAGAATCATTACCGTAATTTTTTATTCTTAGAAGATTGATTTATAAAAATTACATATTTTGACCCCTTTCAAATTTAAGAAATTTTTTGCTTCAAAAGTGACAGACAATCAAAAGTATTAAAGAATTCTTTTGAAGGTTAAAATTAAGTTTGATGTTCAAAATATGTAATCTATATGTTCACCTAAAGATTTCCTAACTTATCCTCTTACTAAAAGTGGGATTTCACACACCCAAAAACAAAAAAGATAAGAGTAAAAAAAATTAAAAGCAAGAGAAGTGTTATGTTCTGAAAATAAATATAAACACTTAAGTACCCATTAACTACCAAAAGAGTCCAAAATTCCTTAAAATCTACTTGTTATAGAAAGAAGGCTCTAAGGTGGAATAACTTTGCAAACTCCTGAGTGTATCTAGCTGTCTACTTTCATAAAGTGCAAGATAAAATTAGATGTTGACTTCATTGTATTTCTAAGGCTATTCACATAATTTTCCTTTACATATCAAAAAGTGAGAATAAAATAAATTTTAAAAATAACACCTATTTAAAGATACACATTGAAGTCAATTTTACCGATTACTTAAATTCCATATGAACCTTATTTACACCAACAAAACCTAAACCCAAAATAAACTTAACGTGTATACTCACTATTGTTTAAACCCATGGTCTATATCTCATGCAACTTGATGTTTCCCCCACTTTTTTTTCACTTTCCTTTCACTGTGTGAAGCCTTCACAGAAAATTCATCTCTTATACAAAAATCACATCTCTATCTCATAGAGATCATATCTTTCTCACAATGCTAATAGCTAAAACCCACTCTATATATGTAGGGCCCTATTACTTTATCACCAATAATTCCTGGCCATTAAGAACTATTACTCATTATATATATTTATCTCTTAAATAAATTTAATTATCAAATAATTCTCAACCAATAGAATTCGACCACAATCCAATCTAATTCTTAATCACAATTTGAATATCATCCTTTAATGTGCTTTTGATGCATGGCTGCCTCTTTAAATGCATCAGCTGAGTTGTGGATCTCTGATGAGTCGGCCGAACAGCAACGGGTGGCAGAATGCTCATTGCTCAGATACGTGTCTAAGATTTGGTGTTGGTGCGACAACAGAATGCTATGTGTTCTTGCCTTTTGGGTGAATTGTGGCTGGTATTGAACATGGGACCAGTTGTGAGATGTTCTTGGAGTTTCCAGGTGACAGTCACCATTTGGGGTTGGGTTTGTGTTGTTGATATCTGTAGAGTCATGTCCTTAAATACAGTGAGGTTTTTGGGTTTTAACAGGGGAATGGCTCGAGGTGATCTGGTTGTTGTATGAGTGTCCACTCGAGAAATATTACACACAACTGGTGTAGGCTTTCTCTCTTGTTGATGAATGGAAAAGAGAATATGCTATTTCATAAAAGGGAAAAGAGAAAAGGAAGGCCTTGTACGACAATGCTAGAGCAAGGCTGGCAGTGAGTCCAGCAAAATTAGTCGGTGAAGAAAATTGGGAAAGCACTATGTATAGAATAAAGAAAAAAAATGAGGAAAATAAATTTGGATTGATTTTTTTCTTTAACTAATAAGGATCCTCTCTTTTATTTTTCTCTTAATTGGGTTAGAATTGATTTTGGCCAAGTTTGGACTTAAATTTATAATTTAGAGACAAAAATAGAAAAAATTGAAAAGGTAGTGGCACGTGAATATATTCGTACCAATCCCTAACTATACCTTAATATACAGCAGAATCTTAATTAAGGTATTTGTGCATCCAACAAAAAAAAAAGAATATTGTTCTTTATTTGTATGCAGCAGAAATTTACTATGATTTTATGTAGGACAGTTGAATTTGTATGAGTGTTTAATCTTCTAAGTTTCAACAATTCAGAATATCGTATAAAGTTCCATGTATATAAACAGTTACAAATACATAATTAAGGAGGCATGGGAACTGGGCCATAACTGCATTGCATCCAAGCGTACATTACTGCATCAAACTACGTTGATCATGATGCCGATCAACACAAACTAACCAAATTAAACTGCAAACTAAACAAAAGGCGACCATGGCAGAGGCAGGCTACAACAAATAGAGCTGCGTTACGATTAATTAGTGGCCACCACCCATTCCTGGGGAAAGAGATATTTGCTTGGGTGGGTTCGGCAGCGCCAAGATTGCCAGCGACGCGCTAACCGCAGCCGAAATGGAGCCCAATACAAAGGCTGGCAAGTTGCCGCCCCCAAACGCTGCATCCAGTGGTCCGCTAACAACCGATACAAACATCTGTCACAGATAAATAAAGCCGAAAGCTAATTTAATAATTCGTCAGATGGTAAAGTTTCATTTGTCCACTTATTTAGCCTTGACCCTGCAGGGGCCCCGGCCCCAACCCCTTTTCCAAGCGTATCAAGATGAGAGAGGGGAATTTTCACCTGTGGGATAACTATAGACATGTTTAGCACTCCTAGGGAGAGACCTGCCATTTTGAGAATGCCATTGAATCAGTACATGGAACAGCTTTGGTGTGCAACAAAAAAAATCACTAGACTTTACCTTGACCACCACCAGCGTTAGAACAATAAATGGACGCCAAAGCGAATGGAATGCTGAATGTTACCTGCATAAAGCCAGAGTTATACTTTAGTTGAAGATCAATTCTAGGAATTACTTTGAATCTCTTAACTAATTTCAAAGTTATACTAACTGATATCATGCATGCCTACTATTTTTCCTGAAAAGATTGCCTTTCTTGCGTTACTTTACGAGTTGGTCTAATTGGTAACTATACACCTTGTTACCTTGATTTCGATGTTGCAAAAAGAGATTCTCTCTCTTAGTATTTCAAAATAATAATGTAGGAAAAGAAAGAAAAGAGGCTCTTCATGTCCACTCCTTAGGGACCCAAGCAAGAGCGAAAGAAACATAGGTTAGGAACTAACCGCAAGTGGAATTCCCAAAAGTCCAAACACGGCCAAGGCCGAGCCTTTGATATTGAGTGGAGGCACGAGATCGGGCCCATTGTGTTTCCTCCAGGCCTCAGCTATCTTGGTAATCAACACCGTCGACGCCAAGGAAGCGCACAAAATGAAGTTCACTATGCCCCACAAGTTTTTAACACCACCAATCAAGCGGCCCACAGGCTCCAGCGCAAGTGAAGTTAGCCCCAAGACGATCGAGTTGATCATCAACCCCAATGCACCTGCTCGCACTCCATCACCGTACATCTTAACTTGATTCGCATTTCCCTTGACCTTGCCTCCATAAACCTCTGTCCCCATCCAATCAGTGTCAAACAACAAGAACGGAAACCAGGCTATCCAATTGAGACAAGTAACAAGGAGCAAGATCCACATTGGCTTCTTCAAAGTCTTGAAAGCTGTCACAATCTCTCCAACGAAAGGAGCCTGTGTTTTGGTTTCTTCCTCTTGGACTTGTTGGTTAAGGGATCCTCCTTCACCGTTGTAACCGCGGTAACAGTCACTAACAGGAGGATCATAATGTCGATAGTGAAGCAAGACTTGAGGTTTGCACAGTAAACATCACAGGCTTTGGTTTTTGTGAAGGGGAAGATCCTGTAAAGGTGTGAGTAGGAACCAGCAGCATAACCCAAGACGTTTCCAACAGCCATGAAAAACGAGAACCACCCATTTGCGGTTCTCATTTTTTTATGGTCATTGGCTGAGAGGTCTGCAAGAAGAGCACGACATGGACCTTGTAACATGTTGTTAGCCACATCAAGAATCCAAAACCCTACAACAAAGATAGCAACCGCTCTTGGTTTCGTGGGACTCTCCAAGGAATCACCAGCATGGTGCCCCATATCTTTGGCGAAACCGATGAGGAATACAGCAATAGAGACGAAGGAAGCTCCGGCAGCAATAAATGGTCGGCGGCGACCAAAGCGAGAGGTGCAACGGTCACTGTTGTAGCCGACAATGGGTTGAACGAGGAGGCCAGAAATAGGGCCACAAAGCCAAATGAAAGCAGCCCAGGTGTGAGGGACACCGAGGGTTTGGACGTAAGGGGTTAGAAGGGAGAGCTGCAGCGCCCATCCGAACTGGATGCCGGCGGCGATGGATGCAACCGTGACGATCTTCCTAAGCGGTCTTGGAGACCGGATGATATCTCCGTTTTCCATTTGGTTGGCCATAACACTCTGCCTGTAAACTGTAAACTGTAAACTGCATTCCTTAGTATGAATAACATGACATCTGTCTCTATCAAAAGATTAAGTAGGTGAGACATAGAATCATGTGATAACTATCCTTTGATCAGTGCAATCACTGCACATGTACAACTTTTTCCAAAGCAATGGGGCTTTCTTTAAAAATTATAAAATAATAATAAGAAACAAAAATTTCCAGGGAATTTAAATCCTTTTGGTTCAATATGAGATTCAAACTTGTTAAGTCATGGAATGACCACGTTCTTAAAAATAAATGTAAGATAATACAAAGAAAATTATCTTAAATGGTGGGTGACATTTTGATAATTAAAATATGGAAGGATAATTCATAAAGGAGGAGAACCACACACCCTCCTTCCATACTTAAAAGAGTTATATGAAATTAAAGACAGAAAGGGTAGAGTTAAAGGCTACCTATTTGAATTCTAGGTTTGCAATCATTTCGGTGCTATAATTATCATCAATGTCCATTTGTGAGAACCCCTTTTTATTCTTCAACACGTCAAGTTTATGCTAAAGGTCGATATGGATGCAATTTAAAACCATGGGGATGGTTCTAGGCTACGTGAATCATTAAGCGTTGAAGATTGTTTCACTGCTAAAATCAAGAGTATGACTACTAAAATTAATGGTGCTATGGAAGGATTTTTTATTGATGGAAAAAACGTCGATAATGGTAAAAAAAATAATAAAACTTTCATTGATATAGATTTCGATGAATAATTAATTTTGTGGATGCAGTAACGAGAGTGAAAGGATAATTGATGAAGCCATCGATTTTTTCTTTAAAATAAAAGTCTGTTCGAAAGGTTTTCTCGCCGTATGTAGTTTATAGCTTTTCGGGAACGAATGGTCAAAAAGCGGGGTCTTAATAAAAGGGCAGCTACAAAGGGTTGCGCACGCCGTGGGTGGCAAGCATGCCCATCATTTATTTTTGATTAAATATTCAAATAAATACTGAAATTATAGTAAAAAAATTATTTTTATTTTTATTATATTTAAATAAATTCCTGAACTTCTATTTCAAATGAAATAAGTTTATCTTCCTAATTATTGATTAGCTTTTATTAGTCAACGATGTATATGGTACCTTTTATACCATGTTATCTGTCACGTGACAGATAATGTGACATTAAATATTGTTGATTAAGATTTATGTGTTTATTTTTTTATCCATTTATTCAATCTTAATCAACAATATTTAATGCAGCATCATCGCTACGTGATAGATGACATGATATAAAAGTAGTACATGTATATACTACGTGACAGATGACATGACATAAAAATACCACATGTATCATTGATTAATGAAAGTTAATCAATAGTTAGGGAGAGAGGCTTATTTGAACTTAAATTAAAACTCAAGAGTTTATTTGAATGCAATAAAAGGATAATGACTAAATTGATTTTTTTTACATAGTTCAACGATTTATTTGGATATTTAGCTTTTATTTTTTGAAATATAAATGAGAAGTAGGAAGGACTTAACCCTCATATATTTGGAATATAATAGTAAAATTTTAACCTTTTACATGATAAAAAATTTACTCAACAAATGTAAGAATTCGGTTTTAGGTAATACAAAATTAGCAAATACCATAAATATAATTTTTTTTTAAGATAAAAAATATCATTTGTTTATTTAGTTTTTACTTTATAACCAAATAAAGTGGCAACGAATAAAAAAAGTGGAGATCTAAAGAAACATAAACCTTAAATTAAAAAATATAAATATATTTTACTTTGTACTTTCTATATATATATATATATATATTCGCCATGAATATAAATTTGAGTTTGTTTATAATTTCAAATGTATATGTGTATACTATGGGTGAATCACTTATTGTCATCTTGTTAATAATAAAATATATTATTTTATTAGTAAATAGTAGATTTTTATTTAATTTAATTTATAAAATATATTTATTAATCAGAAAATATTAATATTAAAATAGGCTGGCCTAGGCTCAACCTAAAGGGACTTGTGGACATCTCTAGTTTGAATTAGATAAGGATATATAATTTTTTAAAATATATATTTAAAATTTTACATTAATTTATTAATGAAATGATAACACGCGATTCAATAAATAATGCATGAAATATTAAAATCAATACAACTATAGTAGTACATCAAACTTAATAGATCCTTTAGATTTTAACGTAAAGGGTAGCAGATAAGGGTGAGGTGAGACTTCAAACAAAAAGATTTTAGGTCCAAAGTCAAAATATACTCTTTTATAGATTAAAAAAAATACTAATAATTCACAAGAGTTTTTCTTTCACACTAATATTTGAACCTCAATTATTGCACATGAATGCAGGCCACCAAAAGACCGCACAACAATTTGGACTGCACCAAGCTTTCCAGATCAATTTTGTTTTTAATTTAGATCCCCTTTTTCTGAATGAAAGAATGATCAAAGCTTTCAAAACAAATGGTTTAAGATTAAACATGAAAAATAGTATCAAATCTTTGGTTTGCAAGACTGTTTTGGAAGCTTCAACTTACCAGCTTTTGCAGTGGGAGCTCTAACTCCAGCTGCAGTAACTGCAATGCTCCAATCCCACCACTCTACTTTCTTCTCTAACTTCTCTTTTCCTGTGAAAGCTTTGTTGAGGTGTGAGATGGTGAGGGACCGAAACTTTCTGCTCCTAAGTGCTAAGTGTTAAGTACAGCAGATGGGTTGAGAATGCATGGAAGGAGGAATCAGTAGGCGTTGTTTGAACCTAGCTCAATACCCTATAAAATGCTCTGCTTTTATACTGCCATATGGATGGTTCAATCATGCTGTCTGGATATTTATACATGTTGGGTCCAAAAGAAAATGTGCTTAGCATAGATGTTAGGAGATATTATTATGGGTATAACAAATTAAAGCAATAAAATTCTTCTGGTAAGGGATTCTCTTATTTTCTTAATAAAATAACAAAAAAATGCAAATGAGAAAATGAAGAATATAGACAAACTCATATAGCAAAAAGAGATTCACATGTCTGCCAAATACATAATGATAAAAGGAAATCACAATTAAGTACAATGACTCATATTACCAAGAATTCTAATCACATGGCCAATGAGGTCCCAAGAAGAGGTGTTGGCAAAGATAAAGATCTCTTTATTGCTTGGTTGTGATTGCGTTGATTGTCTTTATTCTTCTGCTATTTTTGTTCTATGCTATCATCTATACTGTTTATTTATTCTCTTTTTTCCTTCTTTATTATAACAAATAATCAACTAACTTTCCAAAAAAAAACAAAATTCTATCCAAATGCGATAACAAGGATAAAGAATAAGAGAAATGTTAAAGTGGACGGCATTTATTTTCCGATAACATAATAATTGCCCTTAGCATTTGATTTATTTATAAATTATGTCATTATATATATACTCAAACCCAGCATGGATCAATAAATATAAAATCAATTAGCAGGATGTTAAAAGAGTAATTATACATCTTCTTATTCATTGTTTCTAATATGCGTTTCTTAGTGTGATAGGGAAGGAATTTTGGTTTCTTTTTAGACGCATTCAATCATGTACTGCACAAAAATTTTTGGGGGCTTATCTTCATTTCTCTTTTTGCCATTTGGTCATTTTGTCATTGACGCATCAAGTTGAAATTATGGTAAGACCAAAAGAGTTATAAAAAAATGGGTGTTTCGGAAGACACAGGAAACAGACTTTTACGTGGTTCAATCAGCCAAGCCTGCCATGCTCTGCTGCTTGCACTGTCTTCCGTCAGTTCACTTTCAAAATATTCTTCCACCCACTCTACCTAAACCATCTCCTTTTTGGCTGATAATAAAGTCTTGGATCGTATTTTTTTCTCTTGAGAAAGCACCAAGTTCGTGCTAAAGTAATGGCCGGATGCTATCTGCTTAGTTCCCCTGTGAAACATTGGAATTCTTTTGTCAGGCATGATTATCTGAGTGACTTGAAGCATCTCCCTTTCTATCTTTTCTCCAAGTGTTTGTTTTTCTTTAATATGATATGATTGGAGAATCTACTTCTTGTTGCTTGTTCTCTTCCCTTAACTATATTGCTTCACTTTCGGGATTTCTTAGCTGCTGTTGATCAGTCATATGCTCCATTGCCATGTCCCCATTTCAATTATATGATTAAGAATAACTAAGAGCACGTGGCTCGCTATAAGATATATATTTAAAGGTAAATTTGCAACAAAAAATTTCGTTGAAAATTTGCAATAAAAAATTTCATCGAAAAATTCTGTTGGAAAAATTGTATAATCTGTTGGCCACCCCATAGTAATTCCGTTGAAAAAAAAATTTCCAATGGAATTTCGTTAGAAATTTTCAACGAAATTTTTTATTGAAAAAACATTTCCCACATAAAATTCCGTTGGAAATTCAATTCCTACGGAATTATTTCCAACGGAATTCCATTGAAAATTTCCGACAGAAATTTCAGTTTTACAAACTCAAAATACTTGAACAAGCTGTGCAACCTCATTTTGCACTTGATTGAAACCTTCTTCAACGTCTCAACCTTCAGTTGCTTCCTACCTTCATCTGAGATTGAATTTTCAGATTTAAAGGTCACTCTTTCAAGACTTCCCCATGACTTGTAATCTAACAAACACCAAGATAAGTCCTGAGAGCCTCAAATCTTTCTTTGGATAAATCATTTGTCAATATATCAGCTAGTTAAACCTTTGAATTATAGTGCTTGAGTTCAACCTCCTTTTCATTCACCACCTCTCTAAGTGTATGATACTTCACATTAATATGCTTAGTTCTACCATGATGAATTGGATTTTTGGCTATTGCAATAGCTGATTGGTTGTCAACAAAAATCACAGTACCATTTTCTTGTTTGAAACAAAGATCAGCTAGTACCTTCCTTAGCCACTTCAACTGGTTCACTGCTACAGCTATTGCAATATACTTAGCCTCTATAGTAAATTGAGCAACCACACTTTACTTTTTAGAATTCAATGAAAAAACTACACTACTACATGAAAAACAAAAACCAACTATACTTTTGGAATCATCAAGTGACCTGCCCAATCACTGTCACTATATCCAACTAAATCTCCACTATCTTGCTTCATATACCTTAAGCCAAAATCAGTAATGCCTTTGACATACTTGCAAATTCTCTTAGTTGCTGTGAAATGCAAAACAGTAGGTGCTTGCATAAACTTGGATAGCAAGCATGTGGTATACACTAAGTTAGGTCTTATGGCCATTAAATACAGTAGAGAACCTATCATGCTTTTGTAGATGGAACCATCTGCTGATGTAGTGCCATCCTCCTTGCTAAACTTCTTTCTTGTAGCCAATGAAGTGTTCACTACCTTGTACAAAGACATGTTGAATTTCTTTAATAGGTCTCTTGCATACTTTGCTTGATGCGAGCACATTCCTTCATTATTTTGAAGAACTTCCATACTAAGAAAGTAGGTCATTGGCCCCAGATCCGTCATCTCAAACATGCTTATCATCTGACTTTTAAAATCATGAATAGCTTTGTCATCTAGTCTTGTAGCTAATAGGTTATCAACAAACACAACCACAATTAACACAGTAGTGCTATCTAACAACCTCGCATAAAGAGTTGATTCATTCACACATTTCAGAAACCCCTGTCCTGTAAAATAAGTATCAATCATTTCATACCAAGCCCTAGGTGCCTGTTTAAGTCCATACAAGGCTTTAATTAATTTACACACTTTGTTTTCTGATCTTAATTCTTCATACCCTTTAGGTTGCTCAACAAACATTTCTTTGATCAAATAACCATTTAGAAAAGTTGACTTCACATCTAGATGGTAAATCTTCCACCTTTCTCTTACAGATAAAGCTATTAGCATCCTAATGGTATCGTGTCTTGCTATAGGAGCAAAGGTCTCTAGGCAGTCAACTTCATAGACGAGTGCATACCCTTTAACCACCAATCTGGCCTTAGACCTGTTTATGGAACCATCAAGGTTTAATTTAGTCCTGAACACCCACTTAACTCCTATTACATTTGTGTTAGTAGGTCTATTTACCAACAACCAAGTAACATTTTTCTTGATCATTATCATCTCTACATCCATAGCCTTTTTCTAATTCTCATCATTCACTACTTCAGCATAGCTAGTAGGATAAAACATTGCTATACTACATCTGCTGCAGATCTCTTCTAAGGTCTTAGTGCCTCTTACTACTTTACTTTCATCTTCAATATCAGAATAATCACTCTTCAGCAGTGGTTAATAGTCATTAGTGACATGAACATTATTTATAGTTTCAATAGACTTCTTTTCCCAATTCCAACATTGACTCTCATCAAAAGTTCACATCTATTGATGACTACTTTGCTTGCTTCTAAATCACACAATCTATACCTTTTTTATTTTTCACTATCCCCAATATATAAAGCAGTAAAAGCTTTCGAATCAAATTTGGACTTTTTCACATCTGGAATTCAAGTATAACACACAGCCAAAGACTTTGAAACTAGAAATAGAAGGTTTGTGTTCATGCTAGATTTTAAATAGGGTTTTAAGTGTCAGTGACTTTGCAATGCTTTTGTTTTGAATGTAGTTTGCAATGTTAATTGCCTCAGCTAGAATTTCTTAGGCAAATTGCATTGAAATAACAAGCACCTAGCCATATCTCCAATTGATCGATTCTTCCTCTCAGCCTTGCCATTCAACTGTAGACTATAAGTAACTATTAGTTGATGATGAATCACAATTGTTGCCAGAAACTTCTCAAATTCATTAGCAATGTATTTAGGTCCATTGTCAGTCCTCAGTATCTTAATGCTTGAGCCAGTAAAGTTCTCAACTTGTGCCTTATACTCAAAAAATCTTCTTAACGCCTTTGATTTGTTCTTCAAAAAATAAATCGAACAGTAATGAGAAAAATCATCAATAAACAAAATATAATACTTGCTCCTACTTAATGAAGGAGTTTTCATAGGACCACTTAAATCAGTGTGAACTAGCTCCAGCTTCTGTGTGGCATTCCATTTTCTATCCTTAGGAAAAGGCTTCCTTGTCTGTTTTCCAAATGGCAGTCTTTGCACAACTTATCAGGTTTAACAATATCAGGCAGGCCTAACACAAGCTGCTTTGAAGCCATTGTTGACAGTGAATTATAATTCACATGTCCAACTCGTTTATGCCACAATTCTAATACATCATACTCACTATAGAAAAATTGTTTTTTATTTTCTAAAAAATTCATAGGATCACATATTTTTTCTCATGTTCACTGTCAGTAACTCAACACCAATAGGATAAAAATTGTGCACTACCTATTCTTGAATAGTAGACCACAACCATTATCATTTAATTAACCTAAACTAAGCTGATTCTGATTTGCTTCAGGCACATAATGCATTTAATGAATAAACTTAATACCAGAAGCAGTTTCAACTCCTACAGTACCTACTCCAAATATTTTCATATAAAGGCCATTTCCAATTTTCACACGAGTCGTAAAACTCTTATCAAGCTCAGTGAAAAGATTAGCATTACTTGTCAAGTGATTTAAGCAACCACTATCAATCAACCAGTTACACTTGTCTGCTAAGCCTTCATTTTGCTTTAGCCATTAGTAGTACCTTCTCTGACTCATCAACTTCTTCAGTCACTGCAACTTTACCTTCAATCTCCCGCTTCTTAGCCTTACACACCTTCTCCACATGTCTGTGTTGGTTGCAAGCTCTACACTTCACATTCGGCCTTTTGGCCTAAACCAACAATACTTTGGAGTATAATTTGTTTTTTTTTTCTTTTATAGTGAGTACAAGGAACAAATTTATCATCATTCTTCCCTTGCTTTCTAACAGTTGGTTTAGAACTCTTTCCACTGTTCTTTTTCGAACCAGCAAATTTAACTCTCAAGGCCTTAGTCTTAGCAACCAAGGCATTTTCTACAAAGTCTTCATGCTTGAAA